ATCAAGAGAGAAAAGCAAAGGAGGTGATGATTTCTTGTATATTTTGGTTAGTAACAGAGGTGATATATTTTACCATGTGGAAACTCTAGTTTATCATTTAGATTACATGTTCAGATCTAGATTTGGCTGAACCTTATGTTGGCCATATATTTCATTTGAAAACTGATAGACATTTGAAATACTTTGCACGTGGCAATTCTAAATGATGATAATTATAATAATAATATCCAATTTCTTTTATAAACTTTATGTTTTTGTATTTTTTATTTTATTAATAATCAGATGTAGATTGCAAAATTCAAATTTGATTACATAAATGCCTCATCCAAATATGTGATAATTAGATCGAATTGTAAAGTTTCAAGTATCACATGAAGTAGTCTCATTGTACAATTTGGCAAAGAAAAAAAGGCTTTCTAAATTCAACAATTTATAGAGCTATCCTTATACTATGGTACTCTAACCACATTACCTACAACCGCAGTCGCAGAACAATTAAGCAACCTTTAGTGATGTCTGCAATAAATTCAATACATGATGACCGGAGAGGTAAGGAAAGGAAAGGGTGTTGGTGTGGGAAGAGTAAGGGTATTAGCCAAAGCAATAGAGGGAGTAGAACGCTGGGATGCAAGGGCTCTCTCAATACTCTCAAGATGATCATGTGTGGAAGGCTTTGGGCCTCCCCTATTTATAGATGAATGGGTAAGGCTATAAAAGGAGATAGGAAAATGATAGAGAGGAATTTTCTTGTCCTAGAAAGGTGATTCTGATTCGCTAAGCACATAATAGGTAAATTCTATACGGTTTTGCCATGTATCCATGAAAATCTCTTAAGATCAAAATTTTCTGTCCCTAAGACTTTCACGTGGGCACGCTTATAGCTACAACCTCTTTTGATATCTTACTTGTAATTACGTTTGTAGCTCTAACAACTTCATTTATGAGCTTTTTCTCATCAACCATTCCTAAGAACTCTTGCAATCCAGATTTCTTCACGTTTGCAATGGAGTAAGCAGAAATTTTGTCAACCATATTCGTGCTGCCTAATTAGTTGTGTGATTGTATAATGTTAAAATTAAATTGGGCTTTGTCAAGAACGTGACTAATCAATGGTAATAGGAGTGCCGATGGACGGGTTTCATGTTGGACCCCATCCAAATTGAAGGTGTTATGGACAAATTGGACAATCCAAAGGATGGTATGGACTCAGAGCAGTCCAAACATAAATTGCTCATAATAGAGTGGAGCGAAATTGGACAAAACCAATTAATCCGAAGGTCCAATTCCCTTTCTTTTGAAACTTCCAGAATTTTGAAGACTAGAGATTCACTACTCTAGCCTCTAGCGATTTAACGAACAACTGAATAAGGTTTTTTCTCTGGTGATATTCTCCTAATTCCAACAGTACTCCCCATGGCATATCCCTCTTTCAAGTGATCTATATCTAGCAATTTTCTTTCGTTCTCTTTCTCTCTCCAGCAACAATAGTCATTATTCCCTTGTTCAAGTGTTATCCAATGACTAGTGGAACTCCCCCTTCTCTCTAGCGGTCCTATTTCCAGTGGTTCTCTATCTCATCTCTCTCTCTCCCTCTCTCCCCCTAGTAGTAAGTTCCTTTGCGATTTGCTCATTCTGATTCTGGTATTTCATCTTTTCTTTGTCATTTCAAATGAGAAAACGGTGAATAAAACCATTTGATTTAACCTTTTATTAGCATTTAGTTTAATGGAGTTTGGATAATAATAAGTTAGATGTAAATAACCTTTTATGGAATTGGATTCTTTAAATAATAAGCTAGACATAAATAATTTTCGTGGTTGGGTACTTGGATATTGCAGTTGCTTTTCTATTATACTAGACATGTGTTGCATGTGAGAAATTTTTCTTCATATTAATTACTTTAATTTTAGATATATCATAGTTAAGATAGAAGTTGAAACTTAAAGAAGTAACAGTATGATTACAAATAAACTTAAATATTTATTAGGGTAAATTATAAAGATCCCCCTGTATTATGGGGTATGTGACAAAGACCCCCTATACTTTGTTTTGTGACCGTGAGACAAAGACCCCCTTCCATTAGACTTCTGTTAAAATCTGCCATTGCAATATTTTTAATCCCCATACTACTCTTGTAACACTGTTCATCTTCCCCGACCTCACGAATAGCAGCGGCGGTAGCTGTTGCAATGGAGCACTCGTGTAGAGGAGATTGGGCAATCGCGGAGATTGTGAATGGCATGGTGGAGCACTCGTGTAGAGGAGAGAACATGAATTACACAAATTGATGTAAGGACTGCAAGCCCCAAAAAATACCCATTGAGTATTCACCAGTCCAAGCCAAAACTCAGTTCTTTAAGTAACTGTCAGTGCATTTAGAAGTTGGAGAGTGGAGGCTAGAAAAATCTATTCATTGCGTTTCTGCAATAAGCACTCAAGAAGCACGCAACGGTTCCTGCCATTTCTATGAGGCTATTTACACTGAGGTATGAGCTACATTATCATTTATCAATTACAACAAGGAGCATTTTAATGGGGACCCTACAAATCAAACATCTCCCCACAGAAGAGAGATCACATGCTAGAACAATTCGAACTCTAGATGCCCTCGTATAGACTTGAACTTCAAACATTTACTCTCCTGGGAAAGCATAAATGGAACTCCGAGATCACCATATTAATGCCTAGTTCAGGCCCTCAAAGAATGGATGTTGCCCACAAAAAACTTTTCAGGTCCATGTGCAGACTCCCCTTGTATAGATCCTTTCTGTCTCTAGCCATCCTGGGCACATGTTTCATGCTTTTCATTGAGGCTTTTATCTTCTACAGCGAAGACCTAGAAACTAAAATCCAACTTGGCAGCACAAGTGAGCCCTCTACCACAGCTTGTGGTAGAGCCAACCACTGCTCGGTCCAACTCATTTGTTAGGACCCATGAGTACTTAGCTCCTAAGGTCATCAAAGGAGAGGGTCATGGCAGTTCTCTGGATTGGTGGACATTTGGGATCTTTCTTTACGAGCTCTTATTTGGTAAAACACTCTTCAAGGGCCTAGGAAATGAGGAGACTTTAGCGAATGTGGTGATACAGAGACTCAAGTTGGAGTACTCGCAGCACTCGCTCTGGCCATCGTCCTCCTTTTCCTTTATGCAAAAAGCATGTGGTCATTAGTTGCGCTTTTCCCTTTTATTCCCTCTCAAATTCTTCTTTCTAATTCCAACCAACAATGTGATATCATCTTCATCTTTATTCTCTCAAGCATTGTAGTTTCCCATGATCGCGACATCGTTGGCGACGGCTATAGAGACAAGATTGAAGACAGAGAAGAAAAGAAAGGGAAGATGAGAAATGGGTTTCCTCTGTCCTTTCATTTCAGTTTGGGAGAGAGAAAGAATGAGCGAGGACTGTGGGGGAGGGCAAAAGAAGAGAAGAAAGGGAAAATAATAGAATAAATAGGTTTTATGAGAAAAAAGGGGCAAAAAAAAGAAAATAGAAAAAGTTTATTGGGGTATTTTGGTAATTTAATGCATTCTTTCATCTGACTTAACGGTCAAGGGGGTCTTTGTCTCACGGTCATAATGCGTCTTTTTTGAAAAGTTGGATCATTGACCCACCATCTAAATAAGAAATAGCATTGCTTTTGGATTAGTTTTAAACTAGGGAAAATTATAGTCGAAGCTGGCTGTACATTTAAAATTTAGTTACAAGTTCGTCCATAAACCAACAAAACTTTAACAAATGGCTCTACATTTCAAGTTATAAAAACCCTCGCCATGTCACCGGAGGGTTATGTGGCTATTGCCAACATGAGACTCTTAATCCATATTGGACATAATAAAAAGCTTATAATAAAATTGCCCTTTAATGTTGGGTGATTGGAAAATAAAAAAAGGGTTTTTAGTTTCTCTCTCTCTCTCTCTCTCAATCTCTCTTACACTCTTTCACTCAGTCATCTTTATCTACTCAACGACTATGTGATTTGAAAATAATAAAAATGGTTTTTGGTTTATGTATTTACGTTCTTTATATCAATTTCTCTCATTCTCTCTCTCTCTACCTATTGTTCTCCCTCAATCTCTCTCATTTTCTTTCTCGGTCGATCTCTCCTTCTTCCTTAATTTCTATCGTTATCTCTCAGTTTCTCTCCCTCTCCCTCTCTCGTTTTTTATTTTCTTATTTTCTTATACACTTATATGGTATTAATCAAATCGTATAAAAGAACATAAGACCAACTTGGTATGGTTAAAAAATTATTACACCAATTTGATAAAATTCACAAGAAACTCTTGACTATGAAATTTACACCAATTGGAGAATGATAGAGATTGAGGGAGAAGGAGATTTTGACCGAGAGGGAGAGTGAGGGAGAAGAATGAGAAAGATTGAGGGAGAACAATAGAGAGAGAGGTTTTTATTTGGCTACCAACAGAAGTAGGGAGAGTGGGAGAGACAGAGGAAACGGGAGATCGGGAGATGACTGTGAGAGTGAGAGAGAAGGGAGGGAGATCGAGAGATAGAGGGAATGAGAGAGAAACTGAAAACCTATTTTCGATATAGGTTTTATGTTGTGTCCAACATGGAATAAGAGTCCCATGAGAAACTGAAAACCTATTTTTGATATAGGTTTTCTGATTTTGGTTGGTTTTTAGACCAACCTACAACCTAATTTTAAATGTACAACCGATTTTGATTATAATTTTCCCTTTAAATTATATATTTCATTTACATTATATAAAATATTTTTTTACTTATTACACTTAACTTTTATTTGTCTATAGTATCATTTTACTCAAACCACTAACCCACCATCAAAAATAAAACTGTTTGATTTTTAGGTTGATATTAAATTTTGTATTACATTTCCATCATTCATAAAATTATTTCTTATGTATAAACACTACAAGAAAAAACGGATAGATTTTGAATCGATGATCATAAAAAATGCCGCCCTTGATACATCAATGGTGGCGATTTTAACTTGACCTCCATCTATGAACTAAAGCGAGGGTTAATATAAAGGAGAGCGGCATGTTCAAAAAATTAGGCTGGCGTTTTCAGATTGAATCGGTCATCACTTGCTCTCGCGCCGGTATGAAGAAAACTTCCCTCTATTTCCAAAACATCAAAACGCGCGTTACTTTGTCTTCTACATCAAAAACGTACGCGCAGTAAGTTCCCTCATCTTTTCTACTTCACTTCACAGAAAGTTTGTAGTTGATTGTAGAGATTTAATCGAGATTAGACCTATATAGAAATCCTTGGTGTATCTTTGGTAGGAACGATTAGAGAAAGTCGAGAAGTCGGGGAGTAATTCCAAGAAGTTGAGAAAGGCAAGTTCATTGATCTGGGTAATGTTTAAACTCTGTTCATCATTTCCCATAAATTAAAGAAACCCTTTTCATTTTTTTTTTCTGATTTCTTGAATCTATATTTTTTTTTCTTTTTTGTATCCCTTTTGCTATATGCTTGTTTTGCATTTCTTCAAAACTTATTCACAGACCTCAAGCAGTAATGGCTACAAGCAGGTTCTATTCCATCGTTTCTATTGGAAGAAGTCATTTGCATGTGTCAATGTGAAGGTTTCATCATCAGACTCTTATCCTAATATATAATTTTGTCACTGTTTGATACTGTACGTGATCACTCTACTCTCTGGCCCGTTCAGCTCGCAATACTAACTTAACCATCCGAGCGACTTGTCTTAATATATAATTTTGTCACTGTTTGATACTGTGCGTGATCACTCTACTCTCAAGCCCTCAATCTCTCAAAACATTCAGCTCGCTATCGGAGCAATCTCGTCGGATTAGCCACCCCGGATTTTCTGATCCATCGTCTTGTAGATTGAACCAACTCGCTAGGAAGCCAGATCTGTTTTTTTGAAAGAAACCTTTGTCTATAGAATATTTGTCCAGTCTTTTCTCTTTTAGTTTTACGATATGATTTGACTTGAATGCAGAGGGAATCTAATAGGTAAGTTTTTAGCCAAAACCTTTTTAACGGAGGGAATCGAAGAGATTGATAAGATGGGAACAAGACCTCGGTTTCCATTGATTGGGGAACCCTGCATTTTTTGTGTTTATTCGGATTTCTAAATGCAAGTGTTTGTGTTTGGTTTGACTTGAGTTTGGGGTTTTGGGTCGGGCTTAATTTTCTTTTTCAGTTTGTTTCTTTGTTAAAGTTTTCTAGTGCTTTGTCTCACTACCATTGTCAAAGCTGGACCATTTTCAGAGTGTTTTTTTCTTCTTCTTATATATTCGTTCCTTTTCTTAAATATCTTCTTCTAATTTTTATTGCTTATTTGTTCAAATTTTATTTTTTTGCAGGGGTTTGATTTCGTCATTATCTGTGAATCTGTAATGCTGTTAAGCTACTCCTGAGTTCAATTTTTTCACTTTCTCTCATTTCTTGTTAAGAGAGTATGGATTTCACATTTTTTTGATACCTATCGATTTCATCCATTAAGGTTGTTTTCCTATCATTTGTATTTCTTCTCTTTCTTTATTTCTTTCAGTTTAATGGAAGTTTTCTTTTGGAAATTGGTTTTCTTATATATATGTTGCTACGCCAATCGTTATGTACACATACTATGGTTGGAATTGTATTTTCTATTAGTGGGGTTTATCTTCTTTGTTCTGGGTTTCCTTTGGGGTGAGGCTGTCTAGTTCACAAAAACACAATGGATCCAGGTGAGAGAAACCGGCATCATGCATCATGGCAATTTTGTGAGGATGTACAATAGAATGAACTACTCTTCTAGAAAAGGTTGGCAATTTGACCTTGGTGTTTTCCTGAATTTTTGTCATCCATTACATATTTCACAGTATTCTCAATTGTTTTTGGATTTGTGTTCTCCTTTTTATAATATGTTTTAGATTTGCATTTCTTACTATTGGACATTCTGTTTTTATTGAGACATGATTTCAAAACCTCAAGATTTGGAGTTTTCTGGTGTACATGTAGCTTTGTAGGTAGACTAGAATTTTTAGATTATGATGGGACATAATATATATTATTAGATTTTTGCATGTGTATGGAGAAGCTAATTTCTTAACTAATTTCTTTTCTAGGATGGGTCAAATGGATAATTCTGGTCTTATTTTGCAATCTATTAAAAAACATTAGATTATTTGATTTGTATAAATGCTCTACCCTTTACCTTGTGTAGAGCTTTATTTTCTGTTTGCACCCCAAAAAAGAGCAATTTGGATGTCATGAATATTTTCAATCTCAAAAAGAGAACTAAGGAGAGATCTATTTTCAGCTAATTGTGCTAAAGACCAGATAACAACTCCCCCAGTGTTTTCTGCCCAGTGTTATCTACAATAATTTAGAGGATCATATTCCGGATGGTTACTAAGTTAAAGAAGTAAAATGGTTGAAGATGGAAGCCAAGTTCTTCACTCCTTTTTGTATGAGTATACACATGTATATTTCTGCATATGATACTGAAAATTTTCAGTTAATTTCTTTCTGTTAATTTGGTAATCATGTAATTCTTTCTATTTCAGATTGCATATTACCTTGCAGATCTTGATATGCTTTTTTGTTACATTCTTCTTTGCTTATAATTTACCTTTTTTTTGCAGCAAAAGGAATTTTGGAAAGTTGAGTTGAAGGATTTCTCTAGCAAAAATGGATATGTTTTGAATAAGAATGGAGACGGTGGTCCTTTGCTTGTAGATGTTCATGAAGGATACTTGAAATTTGAGGTCTGATGCCCTTGATACCGTCCATAGTATGTAGTCTAGTACTATAATTCAGAAATATATTTTTTGAGGGTAACTTTCTACTCAAAAGGGCTAGCTAGGAATGTTGGCAATATCTTAAAACCTTGTTTGGAGGCTGAACTGCTTTTCCCACCAGGTCATGGGTTAGTGGTTCAACATACAGGTCAACTGGGTCAACCCATGAAGTGAACAAAGTTGTTGAGCAACTGAAGACAACCAAAGTTTCAGGTATTAACTTCTTTTCTTTTTTTTTTGTGTTTTAAAATAATTTCAAAATCTTTAGAACTTGGAACATACGGAATGATTGATTTGTCTTGATAGGTTAGGAAGGCTTGAAAATGTTGCATATGGAGGGTCCTCATATATAGGTAGATTGGACATTACCTTGTCCATTGCAGTGGCAGTAATGCACCTCTAATTCTATGTTTTGAATCTTGAACAATGTAGTAGAGTATCTTTTCTTGCTTATGACTTATATTTTTTATTTAGTTTTTTCTTATATGTGCTTGCTTTTTGTAAAATGCAAAATGGATATACTTCATTTATGGAAATAAATGGAATTCTATCTGAATGTCAAGTTTGTTGAAATGGATACACCTAATATATGTAGGTGTTTACTCTTCAGGTATGTTGAAGATCAATAGTCCTGTTGATGAGGTTTCTTGAATGGGCTTATCAGGCGATCAAACCTCCACCACTCAAGATTTGTGGATCTAGGGCCTAAAATAGAAAACTCAAAGAGAATGATGTCCCAAAAGATGGGACATATGCATGAGTTTCATCACTGATGAGCCAACGTTGTATTGAATGTCTAAATTCTAGGATAGGATAGGTATCTAGCATAATAGTGTTCTATGTTTTTAACTTGTCTTTTAATATATTTATTTATTTTTTTTTTGAACAGCTAGTAGACTCTGTGATGTAGACAGAACATCGATAATCCTAATGTCAAGTTAAGTTTCCCATATTTGTTGGTTCATAATTTAATTCTTTTGAGAGGTAATAACTGAAATTTGTTTGCATCATCTTCAACTCCAAGGGGGTTAATGGATAACTCAGGATTTATCATTAAGAAATATATATTTTTTTAAATAAATTTGATCTATGCAGGCCGTCATTCACTGCTGCCAGCATATATATATATATTGAATGTAGTTGACCTATGCTGGCGGTCATTCTTTACATTGCTGCTGCCTTACATGGTGGCTTGGTGGTCATAATTGCTGTGTTTGAGTATATATGCTGGCAGTTATGACAGAATCGCCGGTATAAAAACAATTGGACCGGCGCCCTAAGCTGGCATTTCTTTGTATCTAAGCCCACAATCATGAGCTAGCCCAACAGTGCTTAAGCAGCGGTCACAAAACCGCCAACTTAGACCTAACCTGGCGATTTGGAAGGCTAACCCGACGGTTTTGTGATTGCCGCCTTAGGTCATTTTTCTTGTAGTGAAAACTTATTTTTGTTCAATATAATGAATGTACAATATTAGTGATGTACCCAATATTTTATTTTTTATAAATATATAACATTAGATATGTATCCAAAATTTTCTCTTATCTTTTTTATTTTTTTTTATTTTTGTGATTCTTTGTATTTTCTATTATTAAAAAAAATTATTATTTGATTATGACATTATTTAATTTCTAGGTAGATTTTGAAATTGGTTTTCCATTTTCATCATTAATAAAAATACTTTTTATATTTCAAAGTTATTTATTTTAAATTTTTATTATTTAATTATGGCATTATTTATTAATCCATTTGACCCCAAATGGTCAAATTGCTTGCCCATCACTGGGAGGGAAGAAAATGGTTTTGTTTTCAAATTACTTTTTGAAATATTTATTTTTATACTATTAAAATTAATAATGTGGATTTAATTACAACAATTTAATGATGAGAAAAATATATTTTAAATATAGGGTTTAATGAGAGAATATAAAAGTATTTTTACTTCCAATTGGTTTTAAATTTTACAAGAATTTCTTATTTTAATATATTATTGTTTTATATGTATGTTAAAAATGTTCCCAATTTTTTCAATTTCTATTTTTTTTTCATTTTATCTATTTTTTAACTTTATTATTTAATCATGGCAGCATGGGTTAATTTATTACTACCACTTAGATGAAAACACTATTTTTGCTAGGTAKAYTTTAAAGGTATAASYYTTTATGTTATTGGAATTATTAATTTATTAAGTATGGATTTAATTAATAGAACTTAATGATGAGAAGAAATAAAAATGGCTTAAATATATTCAATGAACATGAATGCAAGTTAATAACTTAAATATTGGATTTAATGAGAGAGGATTGAAAGCATTGAATATCTTTAAATTACCACTTTTCAACTCATTTAATATCAAGAACCAATTACCTTATTTGCCCTCATTTTTTTATCGTTAAATTTAAATATAGAGGGGTAAATATTGTCCTTAGAAAATTCCAGAAATATTCTTGAAGCCATTCGTACTTTTTAAAGTAGTATAAATTTGGAACGCTAAAAATGATATGGTATTTAATAATATTAGAAGATCAACTCAATGGATTTTATTTTGTATCTCAAATACCACTAAAAGCCAATTAATAAATGACTAAATGTTAATAGTCAAAAAAATTCTGAATCAATATTTTATGCAATTTCAAAATGATTTAAGCTCTTAGGGCTCAGGTGCTTTTTTATTCATGTTCTTAAATTCAGTATCCAAATGCATTTTCTTTTTAATTTTATACTAGAAGAGACCTATTCAAAGTATGAGCTGAAAATAATGAAGATATTTATAACTGTATCCTTGTAAATACGTGTGTTAATGAATTGGGTTTGAGTTGGACCCTATCCGAATCAAAATCAATTTGAGCAGGTTGGATGATCGAATAAGACAATGTTGAATTGGACCAATCTAAATCTAAATCTAATGGACCAATCTAAATCTAGATCGAATCAAATTGGACCAATATCCAATCCATTAACAACCCTATTTGTAAACAAGCTCCTTGTCCTATGAAATCACTTTTTCACAACTACTATATTTGTTTATTTTGTTTAATCTCTTTCGTGCTCATTGGGAAACAATAGAGCTTATTTATTATTTATTACTTATTAATGGTTTAGTCATAAATGTTACCATTCGAAAGTCATTATATTTTCTAATGCCTAAAATGTAAATGATTCTGAAAGCACCAATGAATCATTTATGGCATCTAGCTCTATTAGAAAGAGAATTAGGTCTAAATTATGGAAGCACTTTAAGAAAATAAAATTGTATTCTAAGGAGTAAAGAGTTATTTGTAAGCATTTTCAAAACAATATATAGGACTAAGTTTTAAAGGAATGAGCCACTTATTAGGGCATGTAACAAAATATCCTAAATTAAAAGAAAAGGAAATTAGTGAAAAAAAAGTTGTAGAAAACTTAAAATTTGATCAATATAGTTCGGGAATGAAGAATTGAAGTGCCAGTTCGGAGCTAAACAATCGAAACCCACATAATCGATTCCAAAGGCCTCTCCAGCGAACCCCGAATTTCTCGGGATCATGATGAGACTCGTCCTAGCTCCGCCTGAATCAGAGGTAAACGATAAACCTTATCAACATATTGCTCTCCTTCAAAAACGGAACAAACCTTATCTGTACAGCCCGAAGATCCTAGAGCTTTTTCGTAAGGCCCACGACTAATCCAATATATAAGGACATGAAACCTCAGGGCAAAGGTACGTGTGATTATTTTACTCACTAGCATTCAAGCACTCAAGTATTCTGCTCGCATTCATAGTATAATACTGACTTAAGCATCGGAGCGACCTCGTCGGGTTAGCTACCCCGCGTTCTCTGATCCACTATTTTGCAGATTGGTCCAACTCGCCGCACAATTGGAGTTCGGATCGTCTTCCAGCTAGGAGTATCTAGATCGCGCACCATCAATTGGCACCGTTTGTGGGAAACGATCAAAAGGTCATCCCAACTTTAGTTTTAGTTTTATTTATCCCAATGGACTCTTGCAGCAACACCGGAAAATGTATCGAGATGAACGTTACCGGGGGGCAAGATTAGGAATCAACCTTCCCCCAAGGCCATACAATATGCATTGGCCAGTTTACTATTCCTCTTATAGTGTCAGGAGTCCCGTCACTGTCCGTACCACAGGGCACTATGCAAGTGAGCGTTCTGCTTCCCCCAGTGGGCGCGACTTTCTCCGAGCCATCTGTGGTCCCTCCTGGAATCGGGCACTCCCATTCCATGACCTTGTTTAGTGCGTCCGGACAATACAGATCCACATGCAACAGGTCCAACAATTCCAATAGTATCAACAGTACTATCTGTACCAGCAGCAGTTCCCACCATTGCAGCCGAACCAGCAGACGATTCCACTTCGACACCTAGAGTTGCGTCAAGGTCAGAACCCGAATCGGCCTGGAACCAGCCAGAACGTCAACCAATCTCCTCATTGGGGTGAGAGGACCTCGCAAGTATCGATTCCTCCTAGGGGTCAGGTTTCGTCCCATGGGAGGAGAGACGATCAGCACACTCCTCCAACATCGCAAGGAAATTTTAGAAACGAGTCTGAGGATAGTCAGCTCAGCAGGGCCCATCCACCTCGGCACTCCTATAAGGAAAATGATGGCTCGCGAGGAGATAATAACCAGCCCGGAGTTTGAGGTGCAAACTCGTGGTAGGACCCCTCCGTCCCTCGCGATAGCCAGTTTGAACCCCACAACCAAGAGAACCTAGAAAGAAGGAACCAGGATCTACCTTGCAATAATGTCCGTGGTGATGTTGAAATACCAGACCAAACCGAAATCAGCAGTACTAATGTCGAGCCGGTGAAGAAGCAGCAGCAAGGACATCGCAAGACACGCCGCTCCTCGGCAAGAAACAATCTGTCGGCGAAGCCAGACCAGCAAGCAGAGCAAGCCAAAGAAAATGAAGAAGTGAGCTCAGTGGCTATGAAGACTATGCCTCCATTACTTTACCGGTCATCTCCTCTGTCTCCCGAGCTCTTGGAAACTCCGATGCCAAAAGATTTCAAGGTACCAAGTCCGAACAAGGTACCGGAACCTTGCACCGGGCTCCATCAAAAGCTGGTCCCAATTTGCTGACTTGTTTACTGCACACTTCATTACCAGCAAGAAGTGCCCGAAGTCGTAAGAAAGCCTTCTGAATGTGGTTCAAAGGGAAGGAGAATCAATCGGAAGCTATATAAAGCGCTTCAATGATACTTGCTTGCAGATACTGGACCTCGATCCAGCGGTGCGACTCAATGCGACAAAGAAAGGAATCACCCATAAAGAGTTCAAGTGGCACATGGTAGCTAACAAACCGAAAGATATCATCGAATTCCTTTGGTTGGCATATCAGTTCATCGGTACTAAGGAGGCGATCAACCAAAAGATCAACAATCTACCATCAGAAAAGAGGAAGAGAGAGAATGAAGGAAGGAGCAATGGTGGGCAAAAAAGAAAGAAAAGCAAGTCCCCGAGCAAGGGAAGAAGCAAGTCAAGAAGCCGGTCCCCCTCGCGCACCCGCAAGTCAGGTCGGCGCTCTAGGACCCCACCTGTGGAGAGAACGAGCTATACGCCTTTGAATGCTAAGTGAGGAGAGATCTTAATGGAAATTAAGGATTCCTCCTTCGTCAAATGGCCTCCCAGTTTAAGGGGAGATCCGACAACAAGAAACCCAAATGTTTACTGGCATTTCCACCGAGATCATGGACACAACACGGAGGATTGAGGAATCTCCGCGACGAGATCAAGGAACTTATCCGCCGCGGGTACCTGAATAACTTCATATTGCAAGAAGAGAGGGGACAAGTAGACCGACAGGCAGATCGACAGGGCGACCAGAGGATGAATGGCCCCAAGGTCAACAAGCAGAATGAACAACCACCGCGATAGTTTCTGGAGGAAAGACCAGTCCACGGGGTAATTAACATGATCACCGGCGGGTCCATCATCACCGGATGTAC